TGCCCCTGCTTTAGGTGATTGCTGAATACCGCAACAATTCACTGAAATTCATTGCAACTAACCAACATACTGCTCTGGCTGACTTTGTCTCTGAATCTCTCGCCCTAGAATACCAAAAGTCAAAGCTTACCTCAGGGATACTTCCTCTCTTTACTCCATTTGTTCTTTCATGGCGATCTGGGCGTGCTCGATGTTCAATGCATTCGTAACACCAAGTGGCATATGGCCCGTGTGTCAACCGCTGCCTTGCTTCATCTGGCATCTTTGCTACATTTTGACCTAATGCCTCTCTTGTTCCATGAGCTTTTGCTTCACTCACCAAGCTTTTGGCATTCAACAATCCCATCTTCTTGTTGTGATTGAGGATCTTTGTGTAGCCCTTCACCTGGGAGCCACTGCCTGAAACGCCGAGAAGTGAACATGCTGCCCTCAGAGTCGCCAAAGAAGAATCCTTAGTCAACTCTACTCCTTCACCAAGACTGTGTCTACGCCCATTGGGCTCAATTGTAATTCGCATTCAAGGTCTTCATCCTTCTTTTCTTCTTCTTTCTGACCTTCTACCACCTTCTCCGGTGGAGTAGGGGTAATCTCTTCGATTGCCTGCTCCCTTCTTTCTTTCTTTCTTTCTTTCTTTTTTTGCTTTCTTTCTTTTGTTCTCTACTCTCAAGCTTCTTGCATCCTGGTGCAAAGAATCCCATATCTTCTGGTGGTGTTGGCTCACAGCTGAAGATTGTGATTGAAGGAATGATCGTATCATCATCAAAGAATTGCTCATCATGTTCCTCCTTTTTCAGCATGCTAGGCATTAGCCATCACCTCCTCTATTCACCAAAGTGGTTCACATCAACTCTGGTGATTCTTCTGACTGTGGGATCCACAAATCTTGAAATTGATAAGCTTCCAACGAGCAGTCCATGCTCATTGCAACCTGATTCCTTTTCCAAAGCTGCAGGTACTTGCGCCTCCAAGCAGCCTTCGTCCTCATCTTTAATGACTCTAATGCGGCCTTGAACTGTCAAAGAGCGATTTTGCAAGTTGCACCATTCTCCAACATTTGCTCTCTGCTATTGATTCCCCAACCATGTTCCATCAGCCTTCCATAGCAAAGTTTGGGCTAGTTCACCTTCGAACTGAAGATCACATTCTCTTTGAGAAGAACTTCGCCTCCATCAAGGTCATGCAAGGGATACGGTTCCCCCGCGCATCTTGTTATTTGGTCCTCGTGATTCTCCGCCACCATGATCTGCCATGCTCAAAGGGAATAGTGCTACATCAGCCCCGCTGTCAATAATGATGGCCACACCCTCATTTTCTTCCCCAAATCTCCTCACGATGGGTTCATCGTTTGAGATGTCAATTTCATCAAATTCCTGGATCTCTGGCTCATCATCATCATCATCATCAGCATCATCTCAAATGTAGAAGTGAATCACTCGAATTCCATGATCTCCTGACTCATCATCTCTTTCTCGCAAATCAAAGATGATTGGCTCACTGTTCTCAACTCTCTCGGTTTGGTCTCTGCTGAGCTACCCTGCTGACGTTGGCATGTTGTTGACCAACTGTATGTGTAGTCACTGACGCTCCCCCCCTGGCTTTCCACAAGTGTAACACGCTGCCACACCTTTGCCTTTCTGGTCTTTGCCTTTACCCTTATGATCACCTGCTGTTCCTTTCTGATCTCTTTTTCCTTTCCTTCCTTTGCCCTTGGCATCTTCACCTTTTCCTTTCTGATGGTCGTTCTTGCCCTTCTTACCTTTTCCTTTGGCATCTTGGACTCGATCAACGTCCATTGGCATAGGTCCTTGATATTCTGTACTGCTACTAGCCTACTAGCCACCATGGAAGTAGCCCGCTTCTGTTGAGATCTATCCCATTGCAGCACATGTTCCCTCAAAGTTGAGTATTCAACATTGTCGCCGATGGTGAAACTCAAGTAGGATTTGAGTTGCCCACCTACACATCTCAAAAGAATAGCAGATTTCAACTCTTCCTGAATTGTTGTCCTTGCCTTGACCGTCTCATCAAATACCTCTTCAAGCTTCAGAAGTTGAGGTTGTAGTGCACTGTTCAACTGAAAATGCTGGCCATGTAGTGGCTGCTCCCAACAGTGCCAGCCCTCTAGCCTTTGAGGTAGGTTTCAACGCTATATTCAAACTCCTCAAGGCAGCAAATCCATTGGAGTTCACCAATTGCAGTGCTCTTCCCCTCATCAATGAAGCTAACAATCCATAAAGCTTGATGCGCCTGGTCTTCTCTTCTGTAGTTGCCAAGTCCATGTCAAACTTCTGGTTTGGCTTCTCATGAGTTTCCTTCAGTTCCCTCATCTAGCTCTCATCAACTGCACTCAATTACTTTTCAATGACCCATGACCACTTTCTGAACGCCTTGATCTCTTCTTCTTGTGACATAGTCAAAGATGTTGGGCTTTGCTATCAGTTTTGACCAATCTGTTGTTTTTGTCTTCTTGTCTTCAACTGCTTTCTTCATTGCCTCAGCTGCTGATGTTGTTGCCAGCGTACTCTGTGCTATAGTTTGAAGAATTTCTCTGATCTCCCCTATCTCCACTGCCCACTGATGTCTTTCTGATACAACGTACAGGGTACAGAGCGTCGCTCGCAACAATTCTTCACCAGTCCAGTTGTTTGGGTTCCAAAGGCTTCAAATCTATGGCTCGAATCACACCCGGGCTCCCAGTGACCCTGGGGCTTTTCTTCCTGGAGTTCACAGGGGGCTACGCTAATCCCTGCTCCGCTACCATGCGAACCTTTCTCAATCCAAAAAAGGCTGCAGTATGTTCACTGTGCAAAGTGAGATGCCAATGATGTTAAATACACTAGCTGTGATCTATGCTGAAAATGCCTCACAGAATTAGGTCAAGGCTTTGAAAGATGATGCGTTGGCAGCAATTTTCCTTGGGCACCAAGCACTTCGGCATAGCAGGAACAGCAATGGGCTACTATAGCCAGCCGCCAGAGAATTTTTTTCCGGCAAAGTCTGACCCTTAGTGTTTGTGCAACGCCCCAAAGCTTGATCGACTTGAGCTTAAAGCGATGCCAATCTTCAGGCGAAGTCTTGGCTCAAGAAGGCTTGCAAATCCTCAGGCCCTCTTGAAACCCTCATTTGCATATATAGATGCATAGCGGCATAGCGGACAACATTCTGAGCATGTACTTTGTTTAAACTCTACTTCCCCTGTAGGCGCCATCCAGCAGGTCTGTGCCTACGGATGTGACGAGTGGTTTTTTCTTCCCAGCTCGCATGCATTCGTTTTCTGAGGCGAGATTTTTCTTGCTCCTCCTCCAGTTGTCTTGGACGATGATGAGTCCCAAGATGAGCGAATGCCCAGACCTCAAGAAGAGCTTTTGACCTGCCTATGCCATCTCGCTGCTCAGAATTTTTGCTTCAGCCACGCTGAGACCTTTCAGCCATTTTTGATAATTTGCTACATGTGTTTGACACTATGCTTAATTCGGAAGTGTTGAGTCATTCAGACGTGAACACACTGAGGTGGGATGTAGGGAGCTCACACTGCAATCCATACTGCGTCGACTCTTGGCCCTTTGAGCCGAATGTCCTAGCTGCCAAAGCGCCACCCTCCCGAGTATTGTGATCTCGTTCTGCAAATGCCACTTAGTTCCTGAGTGGATCTTTGCCACTTAGTTCCTGAGTGGCTCCATTGTTCTTGTGAGTGCTGGAAAAGTCCAGCCAGGTCAGTGCAGCCAAATCTCAATCAATGGGATGAAGGTCAGGAAGATGATGACGACTACGACATCGACGAGGTCGGTGGACCTATGTTCAGACCAGCTCCAATCCTGATGATGAAAATGTTAGGATCCAGACCCTCACTGGCACTACGACAGCCAGGACGACCTAGGGCGACTCGACAAATGTAGCTTTTCTTGTCGATTTAGCCAGGAAGATGTGAGCCTGGACCCAGAACCTCATTTATCCAAGGCATGTTGCCCATGCAGACCATGTTTGGCCATTCCTGCTTGATCCTCCTTGATTTGTTTGTACTGTAGACTTTGCCACTGTGTTAGGCACCCATTGGTCGTGCAACTGGCATGCTTAAAGTCTTAGACAGTTTTAGAGAGCTGAAATTTCAACCTCCGAACTCCAGCCTCCGATCCTACAAAGCTTGCGTTTCAGGTATTGACTTACCGCCACTGACAGCAGCGCACACAGGTTGCTGTCGCTTGCTGTTTGTCTTGTTCAGTTGCTGATGGCTCATGTCAGACTCTTTCTGATAAGAAGAAGCATGCAAGCATTCTGTAGAATCCTGCAGGTGATATTTGGTTGCTGAGGTGCCTGTCAGAGACGCCTCTGCTCGAAGTCTGTGAGCCTGTGAGCAGTTAGCTCCTAGATGATTGATGTGAGCTGTTTGCATCGTGGTTGCAGGTTCTTCGCAGGATAGGTTTCTCAAAGGTCTGAAACGTTTGAATGGCAGTCTATGGAGCATGTAGTTTCACTTGAGGCTTATAGCCTTGTGCTGGCCAAAACTAGCCAGCACTATATACTATTTTGAGACATTTGGCAAGAAGGGTGTCCCATGTAATATTCAGCATTTTTTGTACTGAAGCTTTAAGCGTTTGAGTTCCATGGTTGTCTGGCACCCTGTTTTCATGTTCAGTTCCGCACGCCAAACAAGCGAGCGCCAGTCTCACTTTTATTCCAGGAACGACTGCTGAGTCTCACCAAACTTAGTCTTAACACTATTGACACTTTGTAGACTCTTGGTTGTCAATCGCTTAGCGTCGCTTCATGTACTCACGGATGACAAGTGTCCTTACTGATGTGAAGCAAGCTCGTCAGAATCTCTAGCGAAGCCCATCGTAGAAACCGCTTCACTCAGTATGCTCTTTGCGTGGCACCAACTTGGATGCCGCTTGAGGAAATCTGGGCGGATCGCTGTTTCTTTCAGATTCATCTGATTTCAAGACCAATTTTCTGAACATAGCAGACAGAGCACAGTTAGATCTTGAAATGAATTGAGTCGTAGCTTTTCGGGTTCGGCTGCCAAGACTTGCCCGGAACTTGCTTGGAAGCTACTTTCCATCAGCCCAAAAAGGTGCGCCTTGGAACTAGCTTGCTTGGCCATCGATTAGAAACAATCACCGACATACGCGCAGGTCTCATGGCTTTTATGCCCCGGGCTTAGCCTGCTGTAGACCGTAGATTCATTATGTGGATTTAAAGAAGAACGTGTTCTTTTTAACCCTTTTTTTAAAGGGGGGTAGGCTGCTAGTAGCTAGTAGAGGTAGGTAGTAGCTAGTAGTAGCTAATAGTTAGGTAGGTAGCTAGTAGGAGCTAGGGAGTCGCTAGTAGCTACAAGTGGACCCTACTAACTACTGGACGCAGGATAGCTAAGGAAGCTCCCCCGGCCGCCCTAATGGCGGCGGTGGAAGCTTCCTTGAAGAAGCGCTCGCACTAGTGATTTGGTTCGATGTTTTAAGAAACTTAACAACTAGTAACAAGAAGCTACTAGTAACAAAGGGCAACGCTACTAGGAGCAAGAAGCTACTAGTAGCTCCTGGCATTACTACTAGTAACAAGAAGCTACTAGTCTTTCCAACGGATTTGTGCTATTTTGGACGTGAGGTGCGGGTGCTGCACTGATGATCAGGGCCAAGCCGTCGAGGTGCGGTGCCAAGCTGGTCAATTCTCTTGCGGCATGCCCGGCTGACCAGGCTGTTGGCTCCGCCATTGACCAACTGAATGACAAACCCAAAGTCTCAACACCTGCAGAGCCGGAGGAGGTCCGGATTGCGGATTGCGGATTGCACTGATTGCACACCTTTTTGCACTTTTGATGTCTCATCATGCAGCAGCTTCATCAGGCCAAATATGGAGAGCCTATCGGGGCTTTCAGCTCAGCAAATTGATGCAAATTGTCCTGACAGACCGATGCTCCAGATGGTAAGGCCAGCCCACGCAATGACAGAGAGTTCGAGGCGACAAAGTTTTTCTTTTGCTCGTCAGTTCAGTCTGGAAAGGACGTTTGCAATGTGATTGATGGTTTGAAGTCCTTGCCTTTCTGAAACATATGCACTGCGCAGTTTTGAAAGAATGCTTTAGACGGTGTCAAGATTGGCCTTCTGCTGGGATTCCAGGTCGTCATTGAAAAAAGTCCTGGTGATCCACGGATAGGTGGGATAGTGCTAAGCTTTCCAGGTGTTGAACACATCACAGTGCTTCCTATTTGACCTGAGGCCAGAATAACGGGAGTCAGCATATCCACAATACACAGAATCCTTCAACAAAGGATGTGGTTACGATGGCTTGGTGCGAGTAATTGCAATGTTGGAAGGCCTGGACATTAGCGTGGTTGGTGGCAAGGTCTTGAAGGCCCTGCCGGGCTGGCAAGTCAACTATGACACAGCAACTATTGATCTGATACTGCTACATATAAAGTGCAAGCACCGCAAGCATCTTAGGTGTGGAAAGTCAAAGAGGGCTTGGTGAACGAGTGGAACAAAAGACAGCCTGAGGAGATGCAGGCAAAGCGGCAAAGAGGGCTTGTCCTGTTCTTCCATTTAAGGGTGGGAAGCTGTCTTCAGCAGGTCAAATCTGGAGATGCCGTTGTTGCCGTGAACGGCAAAAGGGGCAGTTTGGTTCCCAGATGCATCACAATTAACATCTTCGGACAAGCAGAGTTCCACGCAACAGTCAAGCCCTTGCGCTCTGCTTCCAAAATTTGAGGTGCCGACCAACTACTCGAACAAGTTGCTAAGGGTATGTCACCCTTGCTGTATTTCTTTATGACTCAGAGTTTCCTTGTGATTTATTTGCAATATTTTGCATTCGTCAGCTCGAAGAGATGAGACCGGACTTGCCACCGCAAGTTTTGCTCGCCAGGAAAGTCACCATCCTGTGCTCACGAGGAATGTTCGCTTGATTGGCCTGATTCGAGGAAATGAGGAAATGAGATGAGCTTTCTTTGGCGGAATCAAGTTCTGCCATAGGAAGTCTAGGCCTGTTTCTAAAGGGACTGGCACTTAGATCTTTGCTTGGCTCTCTCAATTCAATGACTCACGATCAATGTGTTGCTTGTACGGAGGTCTTTTGGTGTGGTATGGAATTGTATAGCAAGTTCGAATCCTGAGAGTTATCCCAAAGGGTGCCAGAAGCGTTTGGTTTCTCAAAAGAGTTAGTGACAGACCGCCTCCGAGAACTGCAAATTTGAGGCCTTAGGCCTGCCCAGAAGCCTGTTTCACCTAGTGACTTGAATGACAACGTTTGCGAACGTTTGATCGATTGAATGCGGGAAGAAGACACTTGTTCAATCGCACATACTCGTTGCCTGAGAGTCATTCAATGACGTGCTTTGCAGCTCTTAGAGGAGACAAAAAGACTGCCGTCAAAAGAAAGAAAGACGGAAAGAACGAATGAAAGCAACAGCAACGACTCCGGTGTTTGCTGTCAAGAAGTTGTAAGAATGAAGAGAAAGTGCGAGTGCGGTATCACCTTAATGGCGCCAAGCATTTCTGGAGCAGACAATCTGAGCGAGCGCGTTTCCTTCATTTCCCAACCCATGTTCATATAAGTGGTTAAACAGTGGTGATAAGTTATAAGGGACATCAGGAACTCTGACTTGTACAGAGCAGCAGCCCTAAACAACTCATGGATACTTGTTACTTGTTAATTACATATGTTTCCAACTTGGATGTTTTTAGAGCCACAATTAAGGCTTTGAAGGCGAAACCATTTGACATTGCTAGAACAGATGGCTTGGCATGGCGACCCTTCTTCCTCGCCTTTCCAAGCTGCAACCTACACTTCAAGGTCGCCGCTGGTACACCCCAAGATCCAGGACAGCGGCTGAGCGACAGCATGATCAGTGCGATAATTCTTTGTTCCCCAGATAGCTGCAGGCTATAGGGGTTCTAACCTCTCAATCGCGTGGCGCTGGATTGGCGTTTCGTTTTGCGGGTGCTGCTGCCGTGCTGATGCTGGTGCTGGTCCAGGGATGCCATCATGTCATGCCAGGGATGACAACCTATACACCGGCTATCTGGGGTCTATGCCGGTGTATTTTTTTTGTGTTGTTGATACCGTAGTCAGCTCAACTTGTCGCCTGTGGCTGCTGGCATTTGTCTCGGGTCTTTATTCACTCCGTGCATGGGAGACCCGTGCCAATAAACGCACGAAACCCAGTGAAGTTGAACAAGATTTGACAATCCTGGTCTTGCACTGCAAAAAGGGCAAACACGAGTCTCAGGTGCGTTTTATACTCTTCTTTTATATACCGGGATTATGGCAGGCTTCACGAACAGAGCTCCTGTGACTATGACTTCCTGATAGGGTCTACGGTCTATGTTTGTAAACAATAAGACAACGCATACAATGTGAACACAAACATCTAAATACTACTATATGTGTCCTGTGTCAAATGCGCACTTGTCACATGTTTGAATCTCCAGCTTCGGTCGCCGGGTTGCATGTTGCGTTGTTCTCAACTTTCCCTTGGGTGATAACCACAACCAGCAGTCTCCAAAACCCAATGTCGAATTTTCGAAACTGGTCGCGGAGCACTGGGGCAACCACAGGGAAGATTCTACAGAACATCTGTTGAACGATGCCGACAGAAAACAGGATCGAGCAGTGTCAGCATTGGGTCAAAACTTGGACCCCGCAGTGGGCAATGTTGAGCAATGGCTGCAGAAGATTCAGTTGACCAGAGACCAAAATCAATGAACTTGCGAGCAAGGTCATTCTTAATTCGAAAGGCTCGGCATTCCCCAAACTTCAACTTCGACAGAAAGAACTCTTATTGGGAACCAAGGGATTGAGAAGATAGTTGAAATTGTCGGAGTCCAACTTGGCCGTGTGAGTTTGGAGGAAATTAGTTTGACATCGTGGAGAAAGCCCTGCTTCGATGTGCTCAGAAACCAGACGAGTGCAGACTCTTTCCTGGTTTGGACGGAGTTTCACGTGAAGAAGATCCTCCTTTCATTTCAGAGTATATACAGCAGGAAAGCGGGACAAGAACCTCAGAACCCATGATCAACACGCTGTCGGAGTGGAGGAAATTGAAGAATACCCTGAGGATGGGATGTGGGAATTCGAGGAAAACATGGATGAGCAATGATGAAGATACCTTGAAGGCTATGGCCGTTGATGATGACGGTGCTTCCTTGGCTGTACAATTTGAGAACGCAATGATGGACAGCATCCAGGAGGACAAGGAGCTAGCAACAGTCTATGTGTCCAAGACTCTTGGAAAAAGTCTCGTGCTCGAGTTTTTCGGTCCTCGGGGCCAAAGGGGGAAAGAAAGGACGTGGAAAGGGCTTCAAAGGAGCCCCGGCCAGAAGTCGCCATCCTCAGGCTTTGTGAATGGAAATTGGGAGACAAGACACTTTCCAAGTTGCCACGCACATTTTCTCCTGTGAAAGATACACTGGAATGAGTAGATCCGACTGAGTGAACACCTCATGAAACTCCAACAGGTCGGAAAGACTGATTCAGTGCATGGTTGCCGCAGATGGCAAAAGCTTGTTCGGCCTCGTGAGTCGAACAGCACACCCAACGTGCCAAGAATTCGGGACATTGCTTCAAACCAAATTGGTCAAACTAAAATTGGAGTTGCAATTCGCTGGGTTCCGTCCACGGCGCAAGAATACTGACAGCTTCGCACGGATCACAGACACCTCAATCCTCCGAGAGGTGCTGAAAGTAGGTAGGTAGGTATCAACTGAAAGACAATCCATAGCTTCCGAAACTTAGAATGACATCAGGACATCTTTTTTGGTGCTAAGAAAACCAATTAACACACTTTATCTATGAGATCTATGATTGTTGAAACTTGTTGTTGTTGTTGTTGTTGTGGTTGTGGTTGTGGCGGTTGTTGTGCAACACTGGTAACCTGGACTGCTTGACAAACTGAGTTTGTGTAACTGTATAACCTTGAGGGCTGTCCGAATGCTCGGAGTGGACAGAAACATAGCTTAGCTTTTGGGGCATGCAAGGTCCAGCGCAGACGAGTACAACATCTTCGATTCATTTGTCGTTGCCATTACCCCGCTCAGGCGGAACTGGTCATTGCAGCACCATCGTATTCGCATTCCACGACCCATGACGGACAGGCACAGTCTGACAGGGTGATAGATGTTGAGCAAAGCCATTCCACACTTCTCTATAGGTGTGTATTTGGCCCAGGTTTGATCTGTCCCGGGCCCAACCACAGAAGGCCTGTGCTTGAACTTAGATCTTACATAATTGACCTGCATGAACATGGAGTTCTGCTAGGAGTGGTGGAGAGAAAGGCGGATAGCGCCTGCCACTTTCTTTGGATTTCCTGATGTGACCAAGGCGCGTAGCACTTTGCCGCGTTGCGTTTTGTCAATGCCCTGTGGTCGAACTAATTATGCAATTCATCTGCAGCAGAGTCTGGAGAGGCAGGTCTTCGAGGAGGCAGCTTGTATGTGGAACAAATGGACGCTGCCAAGATCTTGATGATGTGAGCGAGACTGTGCAGTGCAAATCGTGAGCGTGCGGGAGACTTCCGGCTCTGAGGTGACTTTGGCGGTGCTGACTGACAAGTGTGTGCAGGCGGCAGAAACATACGCTCTTGAGCCAAACACATTCACAGACTGTGATTCACAGATGTATTTAACAACATCTGATCTCTTTTGTGGCCTGAGTTGTTCGGAAAGGAAGACATTTGGGACCCCGAGATGTGGATGAAGTTTGTTACTCAATGCTGGCGGGCCTTGTACTTCATTGTGCTGTTTTTTGGTTTTTGCAGGAGCTTCAGGCAGTTTATCATGTGTTTGGCGCCGATCCACTTCTGTAGTAGGAGATACCCCCCAATCCTCATCCTCTCTATGTTGTTTATACTCCTGAACTTGGTGAATGTGGTAATCCTTTTCATTTTAGAGTGTAGCGGGGACAAGCAAGCAGCAAACGCAACTGGATCACAGCCACCAGACTCACCAGACATGTGCAGAATCGAGCCTCTTTGACAACAATTTTGTGAGCAACGACATACAGTGACCCGTTTATATAGCGCTTATATAGTAGGTTGGAGGCCATCACTATTAGGTTGGAGGCCATCGCTCTTAGGTTGGAGGCCATCACTCTTAAAGGTTGGAGGCCATCACTCTTAGGTTGGAGGCCATCGCTCTTGGGTTGGAGGCCATTGCTCTTAAAGGTTGGAGGCCATCGCTCTTAGGTTGGAGGCTTTCGCTCTTAGGTTGGAGGCCACGCTAGTTGGTTGGAGGCCATCGCTCTTAGGTTAGAGGCCATCACTCTTAGGTTG